TATATATATATATATATATATATATATATTCAAAATTTAATTAGTATCTTAGACCTTTGCCTAAAAAACTTGAAGAACATTTTAATGAATTATAATGGTGATATGGCTCAATTCCCTCAATAATTATTTAAGCCTCCAATGGTGAATTGACTCTTTTTAAAACTTTTAATAATACTCTCAAAGTATATAAAATAAAAAATATAATTGAAAAGAGCTGATGAATATATACATTTTCTTTCTCTCTGGTGCACATCAAGTGGACGTGGTAAATTCAACTTGAAGTTTCCAAGAACGATAATTTTCATTTTTCTTTTTGAGAAAATGAGTGTATTTTTTTTTAAAAAAAATATTGTTATATTTGATGAGTTTAACATTTAAATGAGTGCATTTTAAAACGAAGAGAGGTGATTCAAGATATAAATTTGACGGATTTATTTTCTAGATTCTATCATTGCATTCATTATTATTATTATTATTATTATTATTATTATTATTATTATTATTAGACCTTTGATTTGATTATATTAAGTGTTATTATGATGACAAAAGAAAATAGGTGTCATTTTGTTTTGGTGAGAATAAATCAAAGCATGGCTATAGTTTATCTTAATTATAATTCAAACAAAGACTTTCATCCTAATATTTCTTAAAATGGCTATAGTTTGTCTTAATTATAATTTACGATCAACTTAAGCTACAATTACGCAGTTCAGTTTTTTAGTTTTGTATAATTCGGAACTTGTATATATAATTCGTATAACTTTTATATAAATTAAAATTTGTATCACTGTTTACACTTCTGATGTTTGTAGTCAGTATAAATTCATTATATTGAATTCATATAGAAATAACTGAATTATAAAAATAAACCTACAGATCAAACAATCCACAAATTACTTAAACGAGGCAGCATAAATTATAATTACAATTCGTAATATGCAAAATATAACCATAAAACATAATTAAATTTATTATAATCTTTTTCTTTTTTAATTTGGACTGTTGAAGGCAAGCACGTAAAATTCGACAAGCACTCCAGATTTGATGGACAACAAGTTTACCCACTCCTAATTTTAAATATTATCTTTACTTTAAATAATTAATTATTATACTTTGACAATTATTTTCTCAATGTCTTTAAAATATTTCAGAATAATTACAAGAAGCTTATAAGGGTAGAATTGCCAATTCATCCAAACTTATGTACAATCTTTGTTCAAATACAATGGGCTTAAGTCCCCACTTCTGCTTTTGGGCCGGCTCAACTCTTTTGGGCTAATCAAAATCCATTGGGCTAAATTGATACGGAGAATTTTCATCATTCGATCGTGTAAAAGAGCGATAAAATTGTAAATGATAAATTAACAATTCTTAATAAGGACGATACTTATTAAAAAATTTCTTAGATGATGCTTGTATAACCCTTCTATGACTACATATAATTATGTAGTATTTAGAATTATACATTGTAATTATACATTATATTAAATTTAACATATCATTAATATACTAATATTAGGATACTATATAGCTTGATCCTTTAATTATACTTCTTTCTATCAGTAAAAATGTTGTCTGTATCCACACACACTCCAAAGTAAAGTTAAATGATGATGTAAAGATACCCAAGAGAAATGTGCACTTAAGAAAACAAACAAAAACTAGTATAACATTTTCATTTTTGCTAGTGCTACTCATAATCATGCCATAATACATACTAAAACAGAGAAAAAAACAAATTAATACAACTAATTTTGTAAATTATGACGCACTTAATCCACCGTTTTGCCGTTTGAAAATTAGTATAAATACACTACACTCAATTTACAATTATATTCATTCACATAGAAAAAAAAACAACTACATCTCAATATATACAAATTCAAGAAATATTTAAATTTTAGTAATCATGAAGGCTATCGCAATACTAGTTCTAGTTGTGCTAGCTGTGTTCCAGCTAGCAATGGTTGCACGGGGCGCAATCACTTGTGGCCAAGTGGATGCTAACTTGGCACCCTGTGTCCCGTTCCTGACACAGGGTGGCGAGCCCGGTGCAGCATGCTGTAGCGGGGTGAGAACCTTGAATGGTAACACTCAATCCTCTGATGATAGAAGAACCGCTTGCAACTGTGTTAAGGCTGCCGCGAATCGATACCCCAACCTTAAAGATGATGCGGCTCAATCTCTCCCTAGCAAGTGCGGCATATCCCTCACCGTCCCTATCTCCAGGACCGTCAACTGTGACACGTAAGAGTTTAACTTATATATATTCGTAATATGAAATATGTTTTTTTGATACTACTTAATTCTTCGATCCTTCTATTTCAACTTATTGTGGTGAATTTATTTTTAAAATAAATTGGGAATAATTTAAATTTTACTTATTACTAATGAAATGATTAACGTCATACAATTTTATTTTTTTCAGAATCAGTTAAATTCAGCTGGATGGATAATGTTATAACCTCAATGTTGTTATAATGTATTAAATAAACCAAGGGTTGTTAAATCCTTGAACGTTGTAAACATATTCAATTACTATGAGTTAATTTGAGTATGTTGTTGTTCAAAAATGAATGTATTCCGTTCATAAATCATAAAGAAAGTTCAAATGATCGATCGTTACTTAAACTTTGTTTTCTTATTTTTGTTATATGTTTTCCCACAAACGATAATTATAGCTAAAATTAAGCTACAAACGATAATTAATGGACACTATCGATATGTTAAGCTAATTAATTGCTAGTATATCCGCATAATTTTCCCTTATAAGAATGAGCTTGGAAGTTGTGGACTTAGGGGAGTACAAAGTCGAACGAAAATTGAGAAGAAAAAATCTCTGATTAATTACTTTAGTTTGACTTGTTTTGGTATTGAAATAAAAAACCTGATCATACTTGGGTTGGTTTGATTTTAACTAAAGAGAGTCAACTCAAGATCAAATCGACTTGACATTATATATATAATTTTTAAAATTTATTTTATGCATAAAAATATTTATTTTGATGTAATTTCTAAATATTACTAATATATTTCCATAATTTTTATCTTTTAACATATTTTTTCAAGTTTCCATTTAAAAACTTGGAATTTTGAATAGTTCAAAAAATGTTATAATCCATAGATATTAATAACTCTAATAAATCTCCATTCAAAATCAAGTCAATAATAATGCTAACAAAATAAATTACTCTAACACTAAAATGACAATAATGTTGAATATTTGTTCTTTTGTTTTATATTGGTTTAGACATTTAAAATTCATAAACTAATTTTAATATTTCTTTAATGTTTAATCATGTAATTAATACTTATTAGACTTATTTTAGCGTGATTGTACTTTTAAATAGTGATCATTTTTCATCATGACTTATTAATTTGCGATATATATTTATATGATTTCATTATTATCTTTTGTTGAATTTTTTAATATTTAGTGTTATCACTCATCATATTTTATGTTAATTTCTTAAGAAACACCTTAGGTAGTTCCAACCTGGTTGTGCTAAGTAAATATTTGGAGCACAAGATTTTTTGATAGACTTGCTCTTACTTTTTCTTCAGCCCAACCAAAAAATACAAACTCGAAAAAAATATGAAGTTTTATTAATTTGATTTGGTATTTGAAAACCTGAGGTTGAAAAACTAAAAAAAAACGAGTTTTATTAATTTGATTTGGTTTATAAATTTAAAAGTTTAACACAAATAATTCTATTTGATATTTAAAAAAATCGAACCAACCCAATCATGTACACCCTTAATTATGATTTTAAATTTTGGTTCGCTATATCATGACCAAAATATCAAGTTTGATAAGTTTTTTCTCATGAATAACACTTTGGACTCTTGATCTTATATTATAGGTCCATTCACAAGGTAAATGAGGTCAAAATTTCAAAATTCTTCCCTTTGAAGACCCTTCGATATTGTGATTTTTTGTTTTAGAGATTTTTTTATTTTTTTTTTGTCTTTACAAATATTATTCATCACACAACATCTATATATTGGGCCCAAGAAAATATTAAGGCCGCACATGATGGGACTTTATCATCCAACATTAAGATATTGAGCTCAAGAATCCAGTAGAGAAAATTATATAAAATACCAAATTATTAATTAAAATTAAAGCTATAATTATATATTTATCTAATTTTAATTCGTAGTAAATATTTTGTCATTCATCTCGTTCTTCAAATATTTCACTCGCCACTCTCTTTTTTCTCTCATTTTATACAAATAAAAATGTATAAATTATGTTTGTGTTTATATAAATCGAGAGAAAATTGTATATACAAATGCAAATACATATCTTTTCGTTCGCCTCTTTCTCCATATATTTTGTTCGCCACTCTCTCTTGTCTCTCTCACTTTATACAAACACAAATGTATAAATTTTGTTTGTACAAAATGAGAGAAAATTGTATATACAAATACAAATACATATATTTTCGTCATATATATTTATAATTATACAATATAAATCTTCCCCTACTAAGTTCTCTCCTGCCTTTCTCTCTTGCTCGCTTTAAACACACGGATTTTACAAAAAAAATAATTTTGATTTCAAATATATACTTATGCAATTGATTCTTTTGTATAAGTATATTTAGATTTACATATTAAAAGTTTGCTATAGAGCGCAATTATACAAACTATAACATACAAATATGATTTCTGTATTTGCTAAACCTAAAATTTACTCAAAGTATTTAAGGACCACACACCATGGGACTTTTCGGAGTTCGAACGTTTTTATTTTTTTAAAAAAAAATTATTTAGTAAATGATAATATTTGGGAAAAACTTAGCAAATACCTCGTAAAAGTAAAAATAATTACAAACATACACCCCTTTACATTTATACCCCACTAAAAAATTACACTATACGGGCCTTCTAACTAATTTTGCGTAACTGATACTAAATCAGTATCATATACAGTGTTGGTATCATTAAAATTGATAATTTTACTTAATTGATACTAAATAAATATAGATAAATATGTAAGTTATATCAGTTGTTTTTCTTGCATATTGTCCATTACAGAGGCTACTCCCATCTTGCAACAACGTATATCTTGTTCCTAATCTTATTTTTGCTAGTATACCTACACATCCATCTAATCTTATAAGCATTCTTAATTTTGTTATTTTCATCTTTAGAATGTGAGATTTTTTAACTGACCAACACTCCACCTTGTACAAACAGCGGAAGAGCTAGAAATTTCATGAAAGGTATCCCAAATTTGCATAGGCAAGAAAATAATTAATGAATAGGTTCTCTAAAATATTAAAATCAAACTTTGTAACATAAATAATTACTATTATTTTTAATTAAAAAATATATAAAAATTTTTAATATTATTAATAGATAATATTAGTTTTGAATTATTGAACAAATAGCATATATTAATTAATAGCTCTTTTTAAAATATAAAAATAGAGTATAGTTATAGGAAATCGAACCCGCTCGCATGCTATTCTCCTCGGCTTTGGCTTTGGCTGAACGCCAGAATCATGGTTTAAGTAAAATATAAGTAAAATTTTATCATATATATAAGTAAAATAGTATATAAAATAATGAAATAATGTATTTTGAATATCTTTTACATTATTAAGTGATGTAGCCTAGTGGTTTAAGATGTCTTGAAAGAGCCAAGTCTTTAAGTATTTGTAAGTTTAAATCTTGCTAGCAATAGAGTTAAGCCTCTTCTTTTAAAAAAAATTTATGTGAATTTTCAAATTTTTACCTCTTATTTTAAAAAAATTTCATGTATATTACGTAGTTAATTTTTAAAATTTCTAGTACTCTCTTTCATCTTCTTTTTTTTTCAAATTTTTTCAGGTATATTACATATTTTTTTTCGTGTATATTACATGTTTTTATTTTTAAAATTTCTGGTGCACTGATTCATCCAAATGAAAAAATGTACTCGTATATAATTTCTGAACACCCTTCGTGAAATTTTGACTATGCCACTATATATATAATGCAATTTTTCGATAAAGGGTGTTCTCTCGGACACCCTGACATAGTGCAGTTAGGCACCGATCTCTCCATTATTTCTTTGGAAATAATGATCCAAGAGACTTGAATCTTTTTCTCTTAAGAATGATTTATGCTTTATCTTTTGTAATACGACATTGAAAACATGACACATAAATTAATACTGAGGAAATTTTTTTTTATAAAACTTGGACCATATACATAAAATATTCACACAGTTAAAATTGAGATAATTTGATTCTTTTTATTCTAACCCTGCTGTTACGAGAATTTACTCCGAACGCATCTTATTGAAGTAGAGTTAAATATGCTGATGTAGAGGTACCCACGAGAATAGTGCAGTATCACTCGTAATAAAGAAAGAAAAAAACAAAATTAGTAGTATAACATTCCCATCTTTGCTAGTGCTACCTATATTATGCCATAATACATGCTAATTCAAAGAAAAAAACAAACTAACACAACAAACTTGTAAATTGTGACACACTTTATTCATCGTTTACCACCTCTAAATTAGTATAAATACACTACCTCAATTTAAAATTATATTCGTTCATAAAAAAATATATACATATAACTAAAAAAAAAAATTAAATCAAGTCATCATGAAAAACTTTGCACTAGTACTAGTTCTAGTTGTCCTAGCCGTGGTCCAGCTAGCAATAGCTGGTCGGCTAGAACAACAGGGCGGAGTCTCTTGTGGTCAAGTAGACGCTAATATGGCACCATGTATCTCATATCTGACGCAGGGTGGTGAGCCTAGTGCATCATGTTGCAGTGGGGTGAAAACCGTAAGTGGTATGGCTCAGTCAACTGATGAAAGGAGAACCGCTTGCAATTGTCTTAAGGCCGCAGCGAATCGATACGCCAACCTTAAAGATGATGCTGCACAAGCTCTCCCTAGCAAGTGCGGTGTATCTCTCAACATCCCTATCTCCAGGACCATTAATTGTGACACGTAAGAATTTAATTTATATATACCGATAGTAAACGTAATTTAATTTTTCAGTTAAATAATTATAATTAATATTTATCTATCGTTTTTTCTTTTTGTCTTATTTTACAGAATCAGTTAAATCAGCTCGTGATTCACCGGGAATAATGCTTCGCAATGGTGTCATTTAAATTTTGTTATATATATAAAATATATGTGTATTAAATAAAACAAGGGTTGTTAAACCCTTGAATGTTGTATATATACTATACTCAATTACTATGCAGTAATTTGAGTATTTTACTATCTTATTTTGTGTTTGTTTAATTCTGCATTTTTTTTATTATTTTTAAAAAATGGGTTAATTTACGTGTTATAATTAATTCGTAAATTTTTATATATCTTTTAATTATTTTAAATTATCTATTACTGTAAATTTATAATATTTTTTAAATAATTTACCAATAGACAGAAGTATCTGAATCGGTTATGTAATAAAAACAAGAACGTTACTGACATACTATAATTATAAATCATAGTAGATTAACAGTACAAAATTATAAGTTCATATTTATACTCCATTATTCATGTATCTAATTTGAAGTATAATTTTAAAATAATGTTGTTAAGACATCGGAAATTGTGCCACGTGTTAGCGATTGTCACCAACAAGTCACCAACTCTTTTTTTTTAAAGAAAAAAAAAGTTTTGGCCAAAAACATCTTAGCTGTATCTCAAATTTAAGCTACATCCTTAAAATATTATTCCTAATAAAAAATATCCTTCAAATATTTAAAAATAAGCAATTTTCATCTTTTAATTAGATATCGTCAAAAATTAAGGGACCTTACAAAAACATGAGCAATTACTTTGCATTGCGCATACATAAAGAATAAATTGAATTTATTTTATTAAAATTATAATTATAGAAGTGTAATGTCAATTTGTCATCAGTTTTTTAAATTTTTTATAAGATGTATAAAAAAAACACAATTTGGTTGTTGGAACTGGAAAGAATCTTTATTTCTTAATATTAATTAAAACTGAATGTATTTGCATCATTTCATATTGTATTGGGTGACATACATATCAAATTGTCGGTAAAAAACTATATTCTATAAAACATAAAATAATAGTATTCATAATACATTGAAGCCATAATTTAAATTATTTATAATTAAAAGTTATAATATAGGGTTTCTGCAAACCCAATAACTTTCACTTATATTATAAATATAATTAAATTCGTACCAATAATTTGGACGCCTTGTTTCCATGAGATATGGATTCAAAACCCGCCAACTTCTCTTGCTTATATTCTAATTTTATTTATTACTCATGTATTAGGTTTTCGTGATTTCTTAACATAGATTTTTAAAAAACGTTAGGATCTTGTTATAAATCAAGTCAATTTTGTACGGGCTTATATGTTAAAAATAGCGAATAAGACTAATTTGGATGGGATAATTGAGCCGCATAAAATATTAGAAAGTTTTATTTAGGATCCAGACCTAATAATAAATTGATTAAATAGGAATAGCGGTTAGATCGAAAGAGGATACAATACCAAGAAATCATTTGTTCCTCTCATTTCTTTCTAGAATCTAAACTTCTCATCGCCATTCTTATCTCGTTAACTCTAGTTACTTGATATTTCTTACTTTTTCTTGTAACTCGAGCGTTATTATTGTAATTTGGTAACTCAATGACTATAATGTTTATATATTTGTACTAAGAATTGGGGTTTGTTTCAGATTTTAATTTATGTCGTTGATTGTCACTATTGTTTGCATGTTTCTTGTTCATTACTTTTTTAAATATATTAAATATCGATACATTATTATATACATTTGCTTGATATCGTTATCTTCTCCCCCCATATTCAATTTCAACAACTTCTAAACATTGAAGAACATGTTACAAAAAATGGACTCCTTCCTTTCTAGATAAAAGTTAAAAATAAAATAAAAAGTGATTTTTGATTAATTCCCTAAAAACCATGAGTAAATTAATTTAGATTATTATTTTTTCTTTTCCTTTTTCTATATGTCTCACACTTATGAACACAAGACTATGTTATTGCAAGTAATTTATTTTATTTTTTAAAAAAGGATTGAATAACTAACTTCCCAAAGGTGAGAAATAAATTGAGCATTTTTACCATTATTATAAAAACAATTTTAATTTTAAACACTTAAAATAAGAATTTAATTAATATAAGCGAGTAATATAAGTATTATATATATTTATTTTAAATAGATTTAGAAAATGATTACAAGTAAAAAAAGAAAGGGAGATGAACATAATATCGTAAACTACTAGTGTTATAGAGCGAAATCTGAAGAGAGGTCTCTGAAATTGTTTCTTTTAAAAAAAGTAAACTAACTAGCGGTATATAAAACTTAAATATTTGATAGAACAAAATTATGATAGAACAAAAAGTGATTTATCTATCTAAGTAATGAAAATACAATTTCATTAGAAAATGACAATGAAAGAGAATGGAGAAACTACAAGTGCAAACTCGAAGAAGAGCAACTTCTTTCCTTACTCATAGTTATACCAACATTTGTAAATTTAATGAAGCTATGACAAACTAACTTAGCTTTAGCTATTGAATTTATCACATCTATTCTTCTTTTCCTTGCCCCGTTTTTTGACGATGATAATGATGATGACGAGGGAGAACATGAACGACGACTCCCCTTTACTCTAGCTGGCTTAGAAATATCTAAGCCAGCTAAGTGAGGAAAATTAAGCCGAGCCTTAGAGCCTCGTATTTTGAATGCGGCTTCGTCATAAGCCAAAGCCGCATCCTTTGGGGTCTCATA